TAAAGCACTACAGGGTGACATTATGGTTCTAAATAGCAGGTGAATATAATTGAAAGTGCTTATATACTTATATGCACATATTTAATTTTACTAAAGCATCAGTGTTTCACAACACTGTCTTTGAAGTTGAGCAATGTCTAGCAGTAGCCACTCATGGATTTGCCACTTTATCTCATTAAAGCTAATAAAAGTGATGGCTACTAAGTGAAGAAATTTGGTCTTTTATTTAGGACACAGGTATCTGGCCAACACCTAACCAGTCAGCTATTTAAATACTGAATTTAATTAATTAAAAGCTTGGAACTGCCTTTTGAAGCCAGATGACTAATTAGACACATGATTATATAAGTCGTGCAAAGGCTTAGGAGTGCCATTCAAAACTTTTTTCAAGAATCAAAAGAACATTACCACCCTAGACTCCTAAACTAAATCTCTACTTCTGAACTTTACCTAAGCTGCTTAAGCTAGTTATTTTTTTCTGTGCTTAAAACTTCTTAGCAAGATTGTTTCACAGACCAGGAAACATATCTATCATTTAAAAGATTCTGTGAGCAAAATCACTTCCAATCCAATTTTTAAAATATGGTTTCTATTACCATGAGCAAGCTTAAGACATGAAAGAAATATTTTCTTTTTTTGGGGGGGAGGAGGGAGGAGGTTCTACCTTTTGTTACACATTGTACCTTTTGCCACATCTGGATTGTCTGAAGATTTTCAAGTTCCGATCTTACTATTTGACCAATGTCCCTTATTTCTGAGTTCTCTATTATTCTAACAAAACCCATTTTATTTTTATTATTTTTTTACTTAGCTGAGAATGACACTTTGAATAAATTTAGATAAACTGACTGACTAGAGCAAGCTGTGTACTATGCTATTTCCTCACTGATTACCATGTAAGTGGTAACAAATTGGCTCAGAGTCAAGTATCTATGCGTAATCCAAGATTGAGAACTTCAGTTCTTCTTTTTATGTAGGCCCTGAGGAAAAACTAGTTCTTACCAGGACAAATTCATGTGATTAAACCAGTCATCCAATGTAATCATTAAAAGGAAGAGAATAAATTTACAGTGATAAAAATACAAAACAATATATTTTTTTAAAGATTTATTTATTTATTCGTACAGAACTGGGGTACAGGCCAGAGATGCGGAGGGTGAGAGGATTCACCAGAGACAGAGAGGGGTGCAGAAAAGGCAGACCAACTGCTGAGGGGAGCAGCGGGCTGGCTGGTCAGGAGAGGTCTGCTGCCATGTGGATCACCTCTGGTGGCGGGCGGGGATCGAACTCATGCGGAAGTGGCTTAAGTTTCTTAGTGTTGTGCTTTAAGCCGCTGAGCCACCAGGGAGGGCCCCATTCTTTAATTATTAAGGATAATATACCATCTTTCACATTAATTCTTCATATATGATAACATTAATGCATATTAATTATTTTCTATCTATTTGGCTGTACTTCACACTGAGGTAAATAGAAAGATATTTTATACCAGCAAAATTCTTTCTGCACACTTCATCTTTTTATAAAAACTAGGAATTATAAAGATAAGTTTCTTCTATGAAGGCTTCTTGTTGGTTTAGTAAAGGATTGATAGTTGCTTAGAGTTTTTCTATGTGTAATTAAGAAAAAACTAAAATACAAATAAGTGATGGGCAAAGTCAAAGATGAACTTAACTCATTAATGAAGATATCCTGTAAAATTATCAAAATAGCCCAAAATAAAGACAGGAAAGACCACTGCTATAGATTGTGGATTAAAGAAAAAAATGTGGAAATTAAAGTATTAGATCTAAACTCTCTTTGATGTCATAACCTTTTGGGTATTTTTTTCTACTACGTAAAAATCCCTCACAACTTTATCCATCTATTTTGCAATTTAATATGTAGTTTTATAAAGTTTGGGTCTAGTCACTAGTAAATACTAAGCCAACATGCTTACTTTCAAAGAATTGGATAATCTTAAAATTCTTAAAAAAGTAATTTTAGATAAAATATTTTGTATATTTTGCAGTTTATTTACATAAGTAGCCAAATTCACTTTTAAAAGGCACATGTGAATCTCTACTACTCATGAATAGTATACTCAGACAATTAAGTGACAGAGTTGAGCATCATCACTTCAAAATAAACCAAGCGGGTAGATACAAAATAAAACCTCATTTCTCTTCACCTACAGAATATCTGGTTACTAGTCAAGTTGATTTTTCCAACATGTGTCTGTAATTTTCTTTTAAAATTATTGGCTTATTTTTCTATTTAGGCATTAGTTTCCATGTTTTTTACTCCTTTGAGCTTTTACTATCTGAAGGACATTAACCCTTTGTTTTTAAGTCTTATACATCAAAGGGCCTGTCATGAGTAGTATTAATAGGACATTTTATATGAGGAATAATAACATCCTAAACGAGACTCATTTGTGCTAACCTGAATCTCAACATGAGATTATGCTAATAAAGATGTGGTGTTGTTTCCTCTTTTTCCATTAAACATTTTTATTGAAAAATGTTTTTTATGAAAACTATATATACAACGAATGTTAATAAGGGTGGAGAACCGAAACTGCAGGAACACATGGAAAATTTCAAATGTAAAATTCTTTTGCAAATTAACTACAGTCACTCTATTAATAACTAAAAACTGTAGCTTTAGGGAATTATTTTTTAAACAACTTAGAATACTGGGCAATCTTCCATAATAGTTCAAATCATTTTTGTGATGTGCTTGTAAAATTAAACAAGAACTAAAACTGAAGCATATCCAAGATCATGCAATTAATGTTGCATGTAAAGTGTGTATGTGTTTTACACACACATGTGTATATGTATATCTATAAACACACATACATCAATATATATACATTATATATGCAAATGCCTATACATACACACATGCAAAACAAACTATGCTATTATTACTTTTGGTATTTTAAATATTTTCCTGGTGGCACAGACATGCTGACCATAAGACGATTTTTAAAAAAAAAGGGTGAACTTTTAAATTATCCTGTTTCCCAGGAATAGAAAAACAGTAACTAAAATTTACTGTAATGCTTGCTATTCTATAATGATTTGGGGGGTATACATATATCTACACATATAATATAGACGAGATTTTTGTTGTTGTTGTTAAGATTTAGTTATTTATGCACACAGAGCCAGGGTACAGGCCAGAGGTGCAGGGGCAGTGAGAGAATTTACCAGAGATAGAGCAGGGAGCAGAACAGGCAGACTGAGGGAGTACACTGCTGAGGAGAGCAGAGAGAGAGAGATAGCAGAGGTCTGCCCAGTCATGTGGGTCACCCTCCTGGCCAGAATCGAACTTGTGCTGAAGTGGCTGTGGCTAGCTTCATAGTGCTGAGCTCTAACTCCTTGTGCCGTGGGGCAGGGCCCTAATGTAGAGAACTAGATAAGTTTTATAGTAAATTTGGCAAGGGATTTCTTTTGTTCTGTAGATTCCTACACAAGTCAGTACGTTTAGGAAAATCTATAGACCTTTGAGACCAGGTATGTTTACTGTTTTTGGAGAAAGTATAAGCCATGCCTGTTCTTAGGCCTAGAAATCCACCAGCATGAAGAGTGATTCAGAGTTAACCAGTCCTTTGCTTTCTTTTCCTCCCCTCCCTTCCTTAGCCTGGAGATCAACCCTTAGAAGTTGGGCGGGGGTGGAAGTGTGGGTGTGGATGGGGAGTGGGAACTGGTTGGAGGTGACTTGGTAGTGGCGAAATCCTAGAAATTCTGCACTCCCTTGCCCCTGGCCACCGCTTTGCCAAGGCACTGAGTGCTCAGGACAGCCATGTCCTGGCCGCATCCCCCCCACACCACCACCCCTACCCTGCCACCCCCACTCCCGAGTCCACTTGCCCCTCTTTGGGGCCTGAGTTCAAAGTCCTGTGGGACCCACAGTATCCCACCCACCTCTGGACCTCCACCCGCACCCTTCGCCTTCCAGGTCTTCACTGCTCTTATCTGTGGGAAGGGAGCAAACAATTCACTTTTCTTTGAAATGCTGATGGCCCAAAGGCCCTGCAAAAGCCCGAGAGCCAGCAGGGGTGGGAGGGAGTAAACGCTGCAGGGAGGCAATCCGAGCCGGTTTCTCAGTCTATCTGCTCGGTCAGCCCTGGAGCCCTATGGTCCTTCAAATTTTGGAAGATGAACTTGAAGCGTGTGGAGGTGTAAGCTCTTTGGCTCCAGAACAGGGGCGGTGTGTCTGTGTGTGTGTGTG